CGGGCCCATGGAGGACGGATATTTTGTTGGAAACAAGAATGGGGACTTCCAATGCCCTCTCCCTCTTTCTTATTAGGGTGCTCAGACTTCCTTCTGAAGATAAGGAGGCAAAGGGAGGTCTCAGAAATGGGGCAGGGCAGGGCAGGGAGAGGAACCTTAACGTTAACCCTGTGGAGCCCAAAAGCCAAGTTTGTGCTGATAATGTATAGGGCTCAGCTGAACTCGAGGTCAGAAAATCTATCCCCGGTGATTTCAAAGAATTTTGCAACAAAAGACAGCCAGTGTAAATCTCAAGATCCATGTTTTTTTAGAGAGAGTTTTGCTATAGGACATGTGTACTCGCCAGAGAGACAGAGAGAGTCAAAAAGTAAAAATCACCCCCCGGGGAATGGCCACACCGCAATCTCTTATCCTCTACTCTCCTCTTGGAATGTTGAGCATGCATGCACACACATCCAGCATGAGTTTTAAGTCGCTGGGTCTGGGGCTTGAACCACAGCTGACTGTGGGAGTCCAGTGACGTAACCGTTACATCATCTGCTGGTCCCAAGATTCATGTTTTTGAGCCCCCCTCCTGACAGTCCTTGAGAAGAACAAAGTTGGGCCCGGCCTGGTGGCACAGCTAGTAGCAAACTGAATGGCAATGCTGGATGTCACATGGCCAACTGAGGGTTCAGGTCCCCAGGTTGGCCTGCAAAACATGCCAGGTGTGAGTGTGGGTGCCCAAGATCCTTTAAGAACTGGAGGGTTGGGGAAAGGGGATTATGGCATGACAAGACCTGCTAAGGGTCTCTCTCTCTTTCTCTTCCCACCTCATACATGTGCATATAGTCTCTACCAATACAATTAACTTCCTCTGGAGCACACCAGTTAAGGGAGCCAGATCCCACATGCCCAACTGGGGTCCAAATCTCAGACACCACAGCTTGAAAAACATGCTGGGCACGTGTGCATACCTGCCCTTAATCTCACAGATAAAATGGAGGAAGGATTGTGGCATGACCTTGCTCCATTGGGGATGAGGGTGGGGGTTTCTTTCTCTTTCTCTGGTGAGCACACTCACCCTCTGTCAATTAAAAAAAAAAAAGAAGAAGAAGAATAGCTGGCCACACCAGGGATGCCCAACCTGGTCCCCCTACGAGAATGATCACAGCACAGGGCATCGGCTTGCACTTCCTGAGTAGCAGGAACTGGGTTCTCGTCACGTGGTGTCAGGGAAGGGCAGGCTCTGAGACGGCTGCTCACTGGGCTTGCATGGTGCGCCCGCCAGCCTCCCAAATCCCAAATATTTTCTCTAAGCCTTCTTGCCTCAAAAGCCCTGTTCACACTTCCTCCTGTGAGCTATGATCAACAGTGACATATGGTTTTAATTAAAAAAAAAAAAAGCGGAGAAAAATAAATAATACAAATTTGATTATGATGAAAAATTAAAAGCAGGGAAGCAAACAAATGATTAACGAGCATGGGTCACCGTTGGACGGAATGCACGGCTGTGTGGGAAGGTCCTGCTGCTCTGTCCCTCCTACGTGCCCTTGAGCCAGTCTGTCCCCTCCAGAACCCCAGCTCCTTCCTCCACAAAATGCTCAAAATCCCCATCCCACAGAGTGGGTGAGGGCTGAATTAGCAAGCTCACACAAAGCGCCTCGGCAGAGAGGCATCCCAGAACCCGAAGGAGCCCTGACTTGGCTGGCACCGACTCTGCCAGGTGCTGTGGTTATCAGCCATGAGCTCATCAACCCCACAGCGACCCACAGGCAGGAACCATTACTGTTCTCTCCGCAGAGATGAGGTGCCCGTCCAGGGCCATGTGACCAGGAAGCGGCAAGGCTGAGGTGAACTTTGTCATCTGCATAGAGGGAAAGCACCTCACGACCCCTTTCAACCACTGGGGTTCACAAGCACCCATTTCTGTCACCTGGCCCTTTGGGGAGTCAGAGACAGAGTGGGGACCTACCTTACGCAGGATGAGGTGGGAGATGGACGCGTTGGCATCAATGATGATGGTGGACACCTTGTCGTCACGGATCTCCTTGAGCAGCGGTGTGGGGTCCCGGCTATCGTCCAGCATCCTCACTGACAGCGTCTCCTTGGAGATGAGGAAGCCACGCACCAGTTCCTCCAGTCGCAGCAGGCCTGAGTAGGGGGTGGGCCAGGGTTAGAGCCCTTCCCTGTCCCTGCTTCCCAACACAGGGCAGAGAACTAGCGGATGTGCTGAGGGAACAGGGCAGCCAGCCAGAGCACAGCGGGGTCCCCTGGGGTGCTTGGCTCAGGGACCCAATGCCTACAGCTCTCCAGATGTCCAGATTCCTGTCTCCTCCGCCATCTTGCTGCCCACCACCAGGATCTCTAGCAGGTACCTCACACTGACGGCCCCACTCACCTCCCCAAACCATGTCTCCCTTGTCTGTGAACGGCACCATCCCCCCAGGTGCTCAGGCCACAACCCTGTCCTGGCTCCCTCTCTCCCCTCCCCATGCCCGATCATCTAGATCCAACCCTCAAAACACATCAGACCCTGTCACACCGTGCCACCCTCACTGCCCTGGCCCAGCCACTGCCATCACCTGTTGGGTAGCGACCCTTGCCCGAGTCTGTGCCCTGCAAGCAGGCAGAACAGCCTGAATCATACTTGCCCTCCTCCTGCTCCAAACCCTCCAATGGCTTCGCATTTCACCTGGAGTCCTGAAAGTCAAAGTCCTCCCAGTCTCTCAGGCCCCTGGGTCACCCACACCCGTCAGCTCCCTGACCTCTGCTCTCCCTCTCCCTGTCACTCACACAGCTCCAGCCTCTCCGGCCTCCTAGCTGTTTTGCACACATGACACTAATGCTCCCATCCCGTGGCGTTCACACTGGCTGTCCCCTCTCCCTGGAACCCTCTGCTCTTACCTGCCCACACAACTCCCTCCCTCACCTCCTCCAGATTTTTATTCAAATGTCCCCTTCCCAATGATGCTCAAGGCCATCTTTTGCTTTAAAATTGTACCCCAATGTCACTCCACACTCTCAAGTCTCACTAGTTCTATTTTTCCCTTAGAACGTCTAACCTTCTAATATACTTGTTCGTGGCATTTATCACCCCACTCCTCTCATCAGAAGGTAAGTTTGGTGAGGGTGGGACTTTCTGTCTGCCTCGCTCACTGCGGTAAGCCTGATACCAAGAACAGTGCCTGGCACCTAGCAGGTGCTCAAGAAACACTGCTGAAGGAGGAATTCCTTCCAGAGGTTTCGGGACATAGTGTGCTCAGTCTCAGGCTCATACCCACAAAGACACAGCAGGCCAACCTCCTTGAATGACTTGTTCTCACCCTTCTCCAACCCCGCTCATGACCTCCACCCCACTCCTCCCTCACCAACTGTCCTCAAATTCATCCTGGCCTTCTGTCCCCCGACCAACCATCACCACCTGAGCCCACGGGCATGTCACCTCTCCCCACCTCTCGCCGGTCTCCTGGCCACAGCCTGTGTGTGTCACCCTCCAGTCTGTCCTCTACACGACAGCCAAAGAGCTCTCCTACATCACAAATTTGGCACGTCTCCTTGCCCTGGCCTGCGAGGAAACTGCCCAGGGCCCCCATCATCTCCTGCTTCTCTGCTTCCACATGCGGGTCACCAGGAGCATGTTCAAGCCTCCTAAAGGGGCTGCCATGCCCCCACCATGCACTGCCAGAACATAGTCCCTGCCTCCTCCCCTACTCTTCGGGTTCAGCTTGGGGATGTGGGCTCAGAACCCCCGGACATGTCAGGATCCTCCTAGGTGCTCCCAAAGGCACTGCAAGACTGAGACCAATGCAGACAGGGACCACGCCTAGTGCTGCTCCCTGTCCCCTCCTGGGGCTGGCAGACCACAGCAGGAGCTTCGTCATCTGTGGACTAAATGGGTCTCTCTCAGGGGAAGAGACGTCTCAGTTCCTGGACAGGAAGGGATGATGGGAACCAGGAAGGCCAGTGCCTGGGTCCTCAGGGACTGAACAATTGTGTGGAATGTCTCGGGAAGGGGCATTTGGGGGGACAGGCACCGAGACACCCAGGTCTCCTCGCTCACACTCAGCCTTGGCGCAGATGAGGCTGGCCGAGGGGTAGTTGAAGGACTTGAGGATTCGGGAGACCGCCAGGCTGACGTCCTCATTACTGGGGTAGAGGCTGACAGATGCGAAGCGAAGGTACTGAAGGCGGGGCGTCTCCTCGGGACCCACCTTGATGTGGGGGATCTGGACAGAGAGGCAGCTTTGGCATCCATCCTGCCCTTTCCCCCTAGCCCCGGCCTCCCAGGGACAAGCTCTCCACCCGGCCCTGCCCGCATTCCTCCTTACCTCCTTCTCCCCACAGATATGGCTCACGGTGGAAGCAGAGGCTGGGCTGGAGGAGGGCCCCAGGACAGACACGACCCCCTTGGGCAGGATCTGACACACTGCAAGGGGTGAGGAGAGATCACGGTGTCAGGGACTCTGCCCCTCTTCCTGTCCTTCAAGGAAGAGTCCTGACCCAGGGAGGAGCCAGACACTCAAAATGGCCAGATCCTCCAAAATTGCCACACCAACCTGGAGGCCTGATCCCAGAACCCACCCAGTGCAGCCGACAAGAGGAGGGTGCATGACAAAGAGTCAGATCAAGAGACAGACAGAGAGAAGATAGCAGGGGACCTCCTCTGGCCTACAAACCCCATGCCCAGTTCCTCAGTCTTTTTTTAAAAACTTTTTTAGTTTGCCATAGGGCGTCTGCACTTGCCAGAGACAGAGAGAGAAAGAGAGAGAGATCCGCCCAGGTGGGATGACCATGCCACAATCCTGTCTCTTCTCTTCTTTCCTTGGGATTTAAGCCATGCATGCACACAGCCTGATTTTTAAGCTGTCGGGTCCAGGACTCAAACTACACAGTCGCCCATGTGGGATCCGGCCACCTCAGTCTCTGTCCCTCTTGCTGGTCCCCTCAGCCGTTGTCTTTCTCGACCTTTTAAACCTTCCAGTGCTCACAGCAGAGGTCCCTGGGTCCTCTACACCTGGAACACTGCTCTCAAACTAAAGAAACACGTCACAACTGGATGCCTGACCTTTCTTCAAACTCGTTTCTCTGTGGCTTCTACAGGGGTGAGGGCCCCACCATCTGCACAGACCGCATGCCTGGAAATGGTCCTGGCCTCCGACCTCTCTCCCTATGGCCAATTAGTCAACAAGTCCTGTCTCTTCTTTGTCTCCAAACTTTCTCACCTTGTCTCCCTTTCCCTTTTTTTTTTTTTTTTTAGTTTTTGCCATAGGGTGTACATGATTGCCATAGACAGAAGGACAGAAGGAGTGAGAAATCACCGCCTAGAGGGAATGGCATGCTGTAACCCCTCCTCCACTCTCCAGGATTTGGGCATGCAGGCACTCGGCATGACTCTCAAGCCACCGGGTCCAGGGCTCAGACAGTACAGCTGGCTATGTGGGTCCAGCACCCTCACCTCCACACCACCTGCTGGCCCGTCAACTCAGGCATGGACCAGCCTCCTTCCCTATCACCCGAATCCAGACTCTAGATTTACCTTCCAGAAAGCCAGCTCCCTGCTCTACACCCGTTGATGTCTCCCAACTGCTTGCAGGTAAAGGAAGCATCTGCCACCCTGGCACTTGAGGCCTCTTGAGCCAGCCTGCCAATCTGCCCGGCCTCACCACTGCCCATCACACGCAGCCTAGATGTCTTTCATGATGTCCTCAAACATGCCTAAATCCAGGTGGTCAGGAGGGACTCACCCCCACGTTCATCCCTCGCCCCCAGCTGCAGACCCCAGGCACAGATGCCCCGACTGCCACCTGCCTCCCATTTTCCACCCCGTCTTCCCCCAAACTGTGCTGTGTGTTGTGTGCTGCACCAGTGGAAACAAATGTGGGACACAATGCACCGTAGTCTCCCTCTTCATGATTGGAAACACATGTGAACACAATAAAGCCTCTGATCTTATCAGTAAAGAGACCTAAGACACGTTTTAAGGCAGCATCTTCCAAAGGCCTACGACCCAGCACACACCTACCCAGGTGACACCTGTTACCATTCATTCAGGCCACTGGTGTTCAGCAAACACAAATGCATCCCTACTTTGTGGTGGGCTGCACTCCCCAGGGCGTGCCTGGAGCAACACGGGCTTCCAGTCCACTCTAGCCTTCTCCAGGAGGTCTTCACCACGCCCTGCCCCAGAGCCTCCTGGCCTCACTGCCCAGGCCCTTATTGGTCGGCTCTGGGGGCTGACAAGTTTCCTTAGTCAGCTATGAAACTTCTTCCTTTTTGACTTTTTGCTCTCGGGCACAAGTGGTCACAAGAGACAGAGACAGGGAAAGTGAGAAAGCATCCGTCCAGGGAGGAAGGCCACGCCACCATCTCTTCTCCTTGTGGGATTTTGAGCACACACACACATGCACCTAGCATGGTTTTCAAGGTGCAGTTAGGGACTTAACCTGCACAGTTGGCTATGTGGAATCCAGCTGCCTTAACCTACACGCCACCTGCTCAGCCCTTTTTTTTTTTTTTAATTTGCCACAGGGCATGTGCACTTGCAGGACAGAGACAGAGAAAACCCTTCCCATGGGGATAGCCACACCCAATCCCTTCTCCATTTCTTCCTTCTTTCGGAATTTTGGGCACACACACACATGCACACAGCCTGATTTTCAAGCTGTCGGGTCCAGGACTCAAACTACACAGTCGGCCATGTGGGATCCGGCCGCCTCAATCTCTGTCCGTCTTGCTGGTCCCCTCAGCCATTGTCTTTCTCGACCTTTTAAACCTTCCTGTGCTGATGATGCGTTCAGCACCTTTGCCACCCTGAGCTCACAGCTCACAGCATGTTTCAAGCTCACAGTCGGCCATATGGGATCCAGCTGCCTTAACCACCACACCATAGCCCAAAGCCTATCTTTCAAATGAGGCCTGAGCGCCTCCAGGGCAGGGCGAGGGCTTATGCTTTCACCCACCACCCTCAACACCCCCACACATGCCCAGCAGCCATCTCTGGGGAAGAGAAGCAAACAGACATGAAAGAAGGAGGCAGACATCACTAGAAGAGGACATGGCCAAGCCACGGAGGCCAGGGGTGGAGGGATGGACTGAGGGCCACCAGCCTGCCCTGCCTCACCCCACGCCCCTGTGGCCCCGCTCACTGGTGTCCGTGGTCTCGTACTGGCTGTCCCGCTGCAGCTCAAAGATGTCTACTTCCACTCGGGCCTTGGCAGGGACTTCAATGATCCCGTTGATCTGCTCCCGGGCCAAGGCCAGGGCCAGACGCTCGCCGCGGCCACACACTGTCTGGTCGTCCAGGATTGCAGCTGAGGGGAAAAAGGGGCTGGGGACCGGACTCCTGGGTCCTGAGGAGGGAGGGGCTGAGGTCCTGAGTTCCTGGGCTCCAGGATGGGGGTGAGGATATAGGGATGAGGGATCTATGATAGATTCGTGGGTTGGACATTGGAGAGAGCTGGGAATCTAGACCCCTGGGCCAGGTTGAAGGAGGAGCTGGAAGCTGGGACTCCTCTTTGCTGCAGAAGGCTGAGACCTGAGGCCTAGACTCCTGCGTCCCGGGGGACGGACAAGCCTGAGTCTCCGCAGAGGGGCCCCAGGGCCCAGCGGGAGGTCTCTGGGGAGGCAGGGGCAGGGTGCTGTGGGCCTCACCCATGCGCAGTGATGAGAGCACCTGGCAGCTGGGGCTGGCAAAGGCGACAATCAGCAGCAGCAGCAGCTCAGCCGGCATCTTCCTCCCCTCCTCATGGGGACGCAGCTGCCGCGGCCCCCACTCGCCACCTGTAGGGAGACCCCGGCCCTGGGGGAGACTGTTGATATGGGGGCAGCGCCCCACTGGAGCTCTGGTTTGCCTCCAGGACACAGTTGGCGAGGAGGTCCAAGCGCTGATGGGCCCTGCTCTGGCTGGAGGCTGGCCACACTGAGGGCATGGCTGGAAGGGAAGCTCATGCCCAGAGGGCACGATCCAAGAGCAGCTTCAGCACTTGGGCACCCAGCAGGACAGGTGCTGCTGGAGGATGTGCAGCTTCCAGAACACGGAGAGAGGCCTGCTGGGACCCCCCATAGGAGTGAATTCCAGGGACCAGCCCCACCCCAACAGGAAACCAGGAAGTGCTACCCTCCACCCAGTCCCGCCCCTGTCTCTGGGCAGGCAGCCGTTACTAGGCAACAGAAGCCGGCTGGAGAGGATGCAGTGGTTGCTAGGCAACCCTATCCCAGGCCTCACTTGCTACCTTCCTGACGTCCCTGGTTCCCACAATCCCATGGGGAGAAAGGCCTGGACATCTGGGGTCTGGGGGAAAAGTACCCAGGAGTTAGGAAACTTGAGGAAACAGGGAAAGATGGAGAGAGACAGACCAGAGCATGGAGATACATAAAAGGGTGGACCCGAAGCAGCGAAGGGAAGAAAAAAAGAGTAAAAAAAGAGAAGGGAGTAAGCAGAGAGCTAGAAAGTAGAAGAGAATCCTAGAGAGAGGAGAGATTACGAGACTCAGAAAAGAAGGAAAAGCGGACAGAAATAAGAGAGAACACAAAGATGATAAGAAAGAGAATGGGGAGGCCAGCAGGTGCTGTGATGGTTAAAGGCGCTGGACTCCCACATGGCAGACCGCGGTTCAAGTCCTGGACCTGGTGGCTTGCTTTCTCACTTTCTATCTCTTTCTCTGTCTCTCTCTGCTCAAACTGGAAAATGATAAAGGAGTGAATTCCAGGGACCAGCCCCACCCCAACAGGAAACCAGGAAGTGCTACCCTCCACCCAGTCCCGCCCCTGTCTCTGGGCAGGCAGCCGTTACTAGGCAACAGAAGCCGGCTGGAGAGGATGCAGTGGTTGCTAGGCAACCCTATCCCAGGCCTCACTTGCTACCTTCCTGACGTCCCTGGTTCCCACAATCCCATGGGGAGAAAGGCCTGGACATCTGGGGTCTGGGGGAAAAGTACCCAGGAGTTAGGAAACTTGAGGAAACAGGGAAAGATGGAGAGAGACAGACCAGAGCATGGAGATACATAAAAGGGTGGACCCGAAGCAGCGAAGGGAAGAAAAAAAGAGTAAAAAAAGAGAAGGGAGTAAGCAGAGAGCTAGAAAGTAGAAGAGAATCCTAGAGAGAGGAGAGATTACGAGACTCAGAAAAGAAGGAAAAGCGGACAGAAATAAGAGAGAACACAAAGATGATAAGAAAGAGAATGGGGAGGCCAGCAGGTGCTGTGATGGTTAAAGGCGCTGGACTCCCACATGGCAGACCGCGGTTCAAGTCCTGGACCTGGTGGCTTGCTTTCTCACTTTCTATCTCTTTCTCTGTCTCTCTCTGCTCAAACTGGAAAATGATAATAATTTAAAAAAAAAAAAAAGATAGAATGGGGAAGGAACTGAAGAGACAGCGGCATTATGGGGGGAAAGGGGACAGGATAGTAGAGAGGAAAGGGACAGGAAGGTGGGGAGATGTGGAGCTAGAGAAAGGGCAGGAACAGGAGAGGAAGGCAGCAGCAGGCTGAAGAGGAAAGAGGAGGACGCCAAGGCACGGGAGAGACACAGAACGCTACGAAGACCGGAGGGACTCAGGGTGGGAGTATAGGGAAGGCAGTGGATGAAGGCACCCGGGCTACCTGCCGAACCGCGGCCCCACCCGTCGGGGGAGCCGAGGGAGCTGAAGGAAAGGGGAGGCAGTGCGTCTTGCTCTTTGTAACCTGTTTCTTCAAACACTCCACCCCAGGGGTGCCTCTGGCCTGCTGCGGGGCACCTGCTGTGCAGGGATGAGTTAGGCCAGATGCACAGGTCCTCCTGGCCAAGGGCTGTCTCCAAGGGAAGGTTAACTTGAGTCTCCATGAAAGGATTGTGGTGGCGCCCAGAGTGACAGGCGGTAAGCCTGGACCCAGTAACCCACCCAGTGCTCCACCCAATAATCTGGAATGAGGGCCGAGCTGGGACACGGCATAATGAGAACTGCTAGGGAAGGGCAGGGGCAAAAGTCGACACTTCAGACCCCTCTCATATGGCCGAACTCCCCAGGCTGGGGCAGGAGGCATGACCAGCCGACTCTGCTCACCCGGCCCACTGTGCAACCTTGAGCCAGTTACTACTCTCTCTGGGCCCCTGGGAAGGACAGGCTGGGGGTGCGAGGGCATGCTGGACAGACTGGTGGCCGTGAACTGCACCTTGGATCTAAGGTGAGAGCTCGTCAAGGCTGGAGGAGCAAGGGATGCTGGGAGACACAGAAAGGGACCCATGGTGGGAGTGCCATGGAGGGTGGGTCAGGAGCAACACAGGAGTGAAGGGGGTCATCCTGTACCATGGGGTTTCGGGCAAACTGGGGACTGAAGGAGATGGAGCGGAAGGGTGGGAGACCCACAGGTGGCACACAGGTGGGAGCAGAAGGACGGAGACAGAGTGCAGAGAGAAGGGAGGACACAGAAGTACACAAAAGCACACAATGAAAGACAGTCAGCCAGAACAGGAGTCACTGGGCCGGGTGGGAGAGACAGAGACGCGGCCTAGAAGTGAGACAGCAGAGGGGACCGCGACAGGCCAGGGCATGAGAGATGTGGGGAAGGGCGCCAGGCAGGTCCGGGACTCACAGGCCCACAGACTCGGGCAACCCCAGAAAAATGGGTAACTGCGGTGAACAACTGAGCAAAAGGAGCCAAGTTAGGGGTCCTACCAAGGGAGAGAGAAAGTCAAGGGGACAAGAGGGAGTCCACAAAGCGGAAATGGCGAACAGTGCTAGCAAAGGTAGGGGGTGGCGATGGCCTAAAGGCCAACAGCAGGTACAAGAAGTAACAAGCCCAACTTGAAAAGGAGAGAGCGTCGGTCTGAAGCTGTGGGCAGGCCTGAGAAAGGGGCAAAAGGGCAGATGCAGGGCTGAGTCTGGGAGAGAAGCACGCAGAGATGGGATAGCAAACCAGGAGAGAGGGAGAGTGGGGGGAAACTGAGGTAGGGAGGAAGGGTGAGCGACCCAGGGGCATGGGCAGGAGACACTCAGGGATGCCCTGTGGGGGGCAGCCCCAGGCCAGGGGAGGAAGAGGAGCAGAGTGCAAAGAGAGGATGGGGTGGGAAGAGCCAGACCAGTGAGGAAAAGACAGCCTGGACACAGAGCTGGGGGGCAGCGGGGGTGGAGGAGCTGGGCCCAGAGTGGCCCCGGGGGAGTAAAGCAGCGGAGGGGCATGGGCAGGAGACACTCAGGGATGCCCTGTGGGGGGCAGCCCCAGGCCAGGGGAGGAAGAGGAGCAGAGTGCAAAGAGAGGATGGGGTGGGAAGAGCCAGACCAGTGAGGAAAAGACAGCCTGGACACAGAGCTGGGGGGCAGCGGGGGTGGAGGAGCTGGGCCCAGAGTGGCCCCGGGGGAGTAAAGCAGCGGAGTGAGAGAGGGAAGCCAGTTGGCGAGGGAGGGACAGGAGAGCGGAGTCCCAGCAGAGGCACGGAAGGAAAAAAACTAGACCTGGCAGAGGGGTCTCTGAGAGAGCCAGAGCCGGGAGAGCGAGTTTGGACGAGGGGTGGGGGCTGTCAACAGTGATGCCAAGACAGGACAGGGTGAGGCTAATGGCAAAGAAGAGAGAAGTTGGGCAGAGTCGGAGAGAGACACACAAACCGGAGACTCACAGGAGGAAAGACACTTCAGGACACAGACCAGACGGGATGGGGACAGGGCCTGTGACAGGCGGGGGGTGGTGGGGGGGGGGGCAGGGAAAGACAGACAGACAGAATGGGCGCCGGCCCGTGACTGGGATGGAAGCTCCGAGAAGGCCGGCCGGGGCAGGCGCATGCCGGGAGCCCAAGAAGTGAGAGAACACGAGCAGGAGCCGGTTGGTGCCTCAGGACCCCAGCGAGCTGGGGAGCAGGTGGGGGTGAGCCATGCACCTGGATGGGTGAGTAAAGGTGAGTGGAGGCCAGGGAAGGGTAGGGCGCAGAGTAGATGGGGGGGCAGGGTAACGGGGCCCCGCCAGGCGGCAGTTCGTCCAGCCTCTCAGGACTGAGGACCCAGGACCCAGGACCCAGCCCAGTCCCTGCCCTGCAGACACTCACGGATCCTGGTGGGACGGAGGGCTGGGCTCCCTCGAGGCCGAGGGACGACACCGGACACCGGGAGAGAGATGCTCTGGTGCTGGGTGGTGGTGTGGCTGGGGCGGGGGGAGAGGGCAGTCCACGGGCCCCAGCCCCCGCCGCCCGGGGTGGCACCCAACTAATCCAAAACGGTGGCTCCCCAGAAGCAGAGAGGAAGGACAGGTGGGAAAGGAGAGGGCGGGCCAGGGAGGGGAGGAAGGGGAAAGGAGAAAATGGAGGAGAGAAGGGGAGAGAGGAGAGGGAGAAGGAGCAAATGGAGGGGAAGGAGGGAGGAAAGGAGAGGAAGGTGAAAACGGAAGGGAGGGGGCACAGGCAAAGCCGGGGGAGGGGGAAGCTGGCCCGGGAAAGGGCCCCCCCCCCCTCCCCCAGCC